GTCTTGCAGTAGGAAGGGAACAGTAACAGTTTCTTAAAGATGTCTCATTTTTATTTTCTGCATATTGTCAGTATTGAGCAGTTAAATTCCTGTCTGGAGGAAATCAGTATTTGATTTCAGTTGAAATGCTTGTTCTTCTGTTGGTTCCTCTAAGCCCTCTAAAACATCCTCCTTGCACATAGATACATAAGCATATCATATATGACATATATGAGAAAGGTAATGTTGAGTTACAAAGGGGTTTTACAAAAAAAATATTCTGTTTGACCCATATAGTAGTAGTACTTGGGATTATCAGATGGAAGATTTTTGTTGGGCGTGATTTTTATGTAGTGTAAGTAAGTGGTTAAACACCAGAAATTTTGATAATGAGATTATAGGTGGTGTTTGTAACCATATGAAAATACAAGTTGCAAATTAAATAAATTGGCATTTGTTAAACGTGGCTACAGTATTTCAAAAAAGATCAGATTTTGAAGGAGCAAGTGGAGGGAAGAGATAGCTGTTCTTTGGGTCATTAATAGCAAAACAATATTTAAGTAGCACTGAGCCAAAAATCCCTTCCCACTTCAAAAGCCATGAAAGTGGGTCAGCATTTTTGGCTTGGTTCTAAACAAATGTATGCAGATTTACAATTGTAAGTAGTGGAAGCAGCAGCAGCAGCCTTCGCGGGGAGTTTTAAAAATAATTGTTCTGCCACTAGCTGCTGTACTACCCTGAATGATGATGCGTCAGGATATAGCATTGTTCTAGAGGTAGTGCCAACCCCCCCGCTGTATATCTTCCTGCAACAATTCCTCTGGAACAGTACTGCATCCAACTCCTTAAAAAATAATCCTTTATCATTCTTTTCAAAAATGTTTGGAAGAGCTAGTTGTGGGGTGGGTGTTATGTTACAATTTGAAAGTGTGCTAATCTCTTTAAACACAGAGAGCCAGAACTTTTATATTTTTCTACAATCCCTCCAGAGATGTTTTAAGTACACACTATCTGGCATCCCCTCCTACAGTATGGTGATAGTGTATAATTTATACAGGATAACCTCCGTACCATTTTAAGTGCTTTTTCTTAGTCACTAACTGAGATGGACCATGGGGATTTGTTCCATCTTGCCTGCCATTCCTGTTCCTCCAGCTTCAAATCCAGTTCTTGCTCCAACATTATTTTAAGGCCTTCTGTGCCGTTCACTTGTGATTTCAGTAAGCTACTGGATAGTCTAAAATCAAACCCTTAATATTACTACTGCAGTGTTTCACCACACCTTCAAACTCTGAAAGTTTACATGTTACTACCTCTCTAATACCTTTAGAGAAAAGTAGAGATCTGCCTCCACAGAAGCCACGGTACATGTAGTTTTTGTAGACTTTCATTAAGTTTGTCCTCCAATATGGGAACATTATCTACACAAAAAAGTAAAACATTCTCTTACAGTCCACAGCCATCTTATATCGTAAGTTTGATTTTTGTGATAAAAGAGGGGATGGAGCACCAAACAAATTAAAGGGGATAGGGCTGCAGCAAGTACAGCCACCTTTCTAAGCCAATAGTGGACTGCTGTTTGGAGAAAATGTGGGAATGTTCAGGGGTGCAGGAGAGGATATATTGACTGATTATATCTTTATCCAACTTGTGTTAACAAGTTCCCAAAATATCAGCAGATAACATTCCCCTTTATCTTAAGTTTGCAATGGTAGCGTTTGCTCAGGTTCGCTAGAACCTCTATAATAATCACTCTGGTAATTTCCCCTTTATTCCCTCTTAAAATACAAGACACGACACAGTCCTTTACAAAAGTATAAAAAGAGTTTACTCACATTCTGTTCACATCAGATCCCAGAAGGCAGACAGCTTAATAAAGTAATATACATTTGGATTCTATCTTATAAGAAGATAGTCCCTTTGTCCTCTCTTGGCTGGGAGCCAAGAGGGCATCTTAGCAGATGTTGCTTCTTCGAAGGAAGAGAAGAGAGAGAGAGAGATGGCTGCCCCTGCTCTGTGCTTTTATCATTACCTGCACAGGTGAGGCCACACTCGCCTCTAGTCACATGCGGAGGAAGTCTGTCCCAGGAAGTTTACCTGCTGGCTGTACAAACATCCCTCCCCATGTCTAAACATGTACACTCTAGGAATGTTGTAATTGACTGCTCCTGTGTTTCACATCCCACAGAAAATTGTTGTGTATATGTGGGTTGTTGTGAAATTTATTATTTGAGTCCAAAAAGGCATGAAAGGGGAGACCCTATATCTGTTCAGATTGCATACAAACCCATTGTTTGTATCATCCATGATAATTGGAATTGCATGGTGAAGCTGATTTGCCAGGTAGTACAATTGAGGATTCTCACCAATCAGAAGGTTGGTTGTTCGAATCCCCGCAACGGGGTGAGCTCCCGTTGTTTGGTCTCAGCTCCTGCCCACCTAGCAGTTTGAAAGCACATCAAAGTAGATAAATAGGTACTGCTCCGGCGGAAAGGTAAATGGTGTTTCAGTGTGCTGCTCTGGTTTCGCCAGAAGCGGCTTAGTCATGCTGGCCACATGACCCTGAAGCTGTCTGTGGACAAACGCCGGCTCCCTCGGCCTATAGAGCGAGATGAGCGCCGCAACCCCAGTCGTCCGCAACTGGACCTAACGGTCAGGGGTACCTTTACCTTTACAATTCAGGATTCTCCAGCCCCAGTCATGATAGGCCACATAAAGAAACTTCCCAACATGGATTTTACATTGTTCAAAAATAAAATAATTACATTTCTATTGCCATAGACATGATTGTACAGGCAATATTCATACTGGAAGAGCTTGAAAGGGGTATGTTAACTTGGGAAGAGTCACCATTTTAATTACCACTAATATATCTAGTTTTGTAAAGGTTTCTTTTGTCCAGCGTTTAAATATTGTGGTTAATAGTGAGCCAGAGCCAATTATAGTTGACTTTGAACAGTCTGTTCAAATTTATAGTGATAAATATACCTAGATATTTCAGTTTCACATAATGCATTTTAATATTCAATAAACTCTTGACTGATTTTTGTGTGTGAGGAGGGATATGAATACATATTGCCTCAGTTTTTTGGAAATACACACCCTGTGACAGAGGCAAAGTTGGTTTAAGCTCTTTTATTGCTTGAGCTGTTTCCATGGGTTTTGGTGTAGTTAGCATAATATCATCCATGTACTTTCCGAAGATACAGTATCTTCGTTTAATATTTACTCCTGAAATGTCTGCCGAGGTCCAGATTCTAATAGCAAAAGGAAGTGATGTCTTGTAAGCCAGGATTTGAGCAGATCTGGCACTGAAGTGACTGCAGCTGTAACTATAGCCATATGAGAGACTCAGCCTCTTCCAACTGCATTTAGATTATCCACTTCCCAGAGCCTGCTAAACAATGCAGGGCATTGCAGGGAAGTTCAGCCGTAATAGCAAAAGGTTCTAGTCCCTAGTGTTAGAATAAGTAAAAATTATAATAAGGGACACCCTTGCTTTGTCCCACATTTAATATCTATACTATTGGAGTTCAGATGATTAATATGAATGATGGCTTTAGATTAAGAATCAATGGTGATTTTATGTGTACATGGTTAGTCAAAAATATTGTGCAGTAGGATTCCACCTGCAATGGATCTTTATATGGCTGGGTATAGCCACAATTTTAGATTCCAGCCATGTCTGTGGAAGGGAGCCCCTCCCAGATATCGACTAACTTGGCCATATCTAGAAGCAAATTGAAAAGGTTTTCCAGAATAAATAAAATATTCACAAATGTATTGAAAGGCAATTGGCAGTGTGGTGATTCCTGAATTACCTGATGTGATGGTGGAGAAATAGTTTAATAACGGAATTATTCTAAGCTTAATTTGTAACCTTGTGACAAGCAACCTGAAGAAGATTTAAAGCATGATAGAAATTCTAACAATGGCTGACAGTTAACTTATATTGTCTCAAAGCATAGTGAAGTGACTCCATCTCAACTCGCCCATTCTGGAGGAACCTTTGTGTGGCATGTTGACATCCTCTAGAAGCCACTCATATTTTTTGCTCTCTTTGTTCTGCATTGTCGCCCCAAAACTGCAACAGCGACCTTATTTGGGACTTAATGCCATGAATATTTAAACACTGGGTTTTAAATATCGTTGCTGATTCAGGTGTAACATTAGGACCGCTTTATGTATTATTTTTTCCAACATGGCAATAATCGTGCAACATGAAACCAGAGGTGCAAATCATAGCAAAGCTGAGGGAACCTTCAGGCAGGTGTTTATGACACTGGGAGTTCACTTGGGCTGTTTATGTGCCTAGTAGTCTGCTCTGATTTCTTACGCATGTATGAAGTACATGGTTCTGATTATATTTGTTAATATGCTGAAACATATCATACCATAGAAAAGCGGCTGTCTCAACTTTGCATTAAAGGTGCACTGCTTACTTTCTTCTTCTTTTTTCAAATTATTTTTATTAGTTTTGCAAATTAATACAAATCAAACCTATTTAATTTAATACAATTTTTAAAAATCAAGTTTCCCACTCCTGTTGCCAACATATGTCCTTCTCTTCTGTTGTTGCCACATCCTTTTTTCTTGAAATCCACTTAAAATCTTTGCTAGATGTAATCCATTCTCACCACTGCCAATAAATCATCTTTACAAACAATGTTCTTTTTAATTTCCATAGGTAAATTCCTTTTCACATGTGTAGTCATTCAAATCAATATTCTCAGACCTGTTGTGGAGGAACATCTCACTGCTTACTCTCTAGGCATTCTGCTTTCTGGCTGGGGTTTGGCTTTCGTCAGGGAAGTGAACCTGCCTCATTCTGGAGCTCTGTACCCACTAAATTTGTTCATTAATTTTTCTCATCAATAACTTTAAAAATTATGCCCAAGTTTATATGACTATTGCAGTAGAAATGTTGTTGAGAATTCCACTTTTTCCTTCTTTAAATTAGAATAGCATTCATATGGTTTGAGGCATTTTTATTTATTTTTTTAAAATTGTTTTTCTTACAGCTGTTGGCGAATCAGAAAGTGATATCTACATGCGATTCATGAGGTCACATAAGTGTTATGATATTGTTCCAACAAGCTCAAAGCTTGTGGTCTTTGACACTACACTACAGGTGAGTTGTCCATTTTCAGAATCCATTTCCTAACCATTAGTTGCCTTATTAATAATATACACGGGTTGTGGCCTGTGATACAGATGACCTTGTTTTCAGAATGCAATGCCTCAAAGACATTTTAAAAGTTTTTTTAAAAAATGTTCTTCCTCTTTGAATCAATAATTAGACATCAGTCCTAATGACCAATGGAAGTTCCCTTCCTTTTAAATGGAAAAGGGTTAGTGACAAAGTGCCTTTGCGTGCTTGTGAAAATGGAACTATCAAATATGTTCTAAAATCATGTGTTGAACAGATGCCGATCTTTTGTTTTATAAATTATATGGCATAAGGTTTCAAATACCTTGGTAAAGTAACTTTTAAGGATTGCATGCCAGTATTTACAAGTAAGCCCACTAAACTATAATTTTTATATACCTACCTAGGATCTGTCTGGATGAAGGTCATTTTAGAATTTTTTTAAATAAAAATGTCATAATGAAGCCAACACTTAGACTGTGAAGCTCTATATTAACATTTTTCACTGTAGCATTTTAAAGTTGAAAAGGAGCACTGAATATAGCAGAATAGGAACAGAGAAACAGCATGGAACAGATTTTCTGAGAGACATATATTCTTCTAACATGACATTTTAATATAAATTAGCATTTCCAGTTGACACAAAATACACTCCTTCTATATTCGTTGACTTTCAAAGTCACATTGAATTGTTTACAATGAAAAGTATGTTACTAAAAATATATCCTTTTATAATGTAGTTGCATTATCTTCTTGGACCTGGTAGGTAAATAAATTAACCTCTTGTCTTTGATGATAGACAGATGTTTTTATACAATGCATGCTTTCATAAAGTTGGGAGGTCAACACTCAAACCTTAAGACCTATATAGAACAAAAGTATATTATCCTCCAGATAGCCTGAAGGAAACCTAGTATTCCATTCTTTACCATTTTTTCTCACGATTAAAGTCTTAACATGCCAGTGGATTCAGGTGACCTTTTCCCCCCCAGAAGAGCTAAGTTTGCACGTCATGCTAAGTCATAGTTGATTTTAAACACATGACCTTACCTCTGTACAATGCTGTGTGTGCCACAAACGAGCCACAACATGGCTTGTCATATTTCATACAAATGAATGGTAAGCTAGAAATAAGCCAATAACAAACATTTGAAACAAATTAGATTTACTTGATCTGATATGCCATACAATAGCTTGCTTTGTGCTGCACATAGCACCCACCAGAGGTGGGGCGCGTCACACAGTAGGCTAGGAGTCACATTCACGATTAAGCCATGTTTTAAAACAAAGTATGGCTTAGAAATGGATGGGGAACATTTTTTTCAGCTGGGGAACCAGATTCCATTCTGGACAACCTCACACAGGCCAGTGGTGGGTGAGGCCAGAGGCAAACACAAATGCAGCAATGAATGTGATTTTGTACAGGGCGGTGGGGAATATTCATTGGCTAATACTGCAGGTTTATTATAAAATACCGTATTTTTCGCCCTATAGGATGCACCGGCCCATAGGACGCATCTAGATTTGGAGGGGGGAAATAAAGAGGGAAAATTTTATCCCCCCCCCCCCGGCGCGGGGCTGGGGTGGGGGAAGCCCGAGCTTCCGCCGACCCCAGCCCCCCGAAACAGGCAGCTCTGGGAGCTTGCGGGGCTGGGGGAGGGGGAAGCCCGAGCTTCCCCCGCCCCCAGAACGGGTCCCAGAGCGATACAGAAGCTGCCCGCAGTTTCGGCATTGCTCTGGGAGCTTGCGGGGCTGGGGGAGGGGGAAGCCTGCCGCCAGCCTCCAAACCACGTCGGGAGACAGCGGGATGGCGCGCTGCGCCTCCCCGGTGTCCCCCGAGCTTGCGGGGCTGGCGGCAGGGAGAAGCACTCTTCTCCCCGCCGCCAGCCTCCAAACCAGGTCGGGGGACAGCGGGATGGCGGCGTTCCGCCTCCCCGCTGTCCCCAGAGCTTGTGGGGCTCTCCAGGCTTCAGCGAAAGCCTGCATTCGCCCCATAGGACACACACACATTTCCCCTTCATTTTTGGAGGGGGAAAAGTGCGTCCTATAGGGCGAAAAATACGGTAAGTGTTTTCCATGTCCTTGAGTTTGGGAAGCTGCCAAGAACTAAATCACTGTTCCGGTTTGTACATACAAGTGTAATGCCAAATGGATATAGAACAAGTGAGAGTGGTGTTTCAATGTATCCATGTTGTTTCTTTAGGCTTGAAACTCATCCATACCTTTCTAGCAAATTGTAGCTGTCATGTCCTCCTCAGTATCAAGCTGTGTGATAAGATTTTTAAAAATAGCAATGCTCTATGTCCTTTTTTAAAAAATGCTGTTTTATTTTGTCTTTCAGGTAAAGAAAGCTTTCTTTGCCTTGGTAGCAAATGGTGTCCGAGCAGCTCCTCTGTGGGAGAGTAAAAAACAAAGCTTTGTAGGTAAGATAATGTATATTAGTATAAAGTTTGGAGAGAGAGATTTAATTCATCTCCACTAAACAGTGGAATCAGATATAGTGGTGGGTTGTGGGGTTTTTTGTGCTTTTGCCTTCTCTTCAATTTTTTATTTTATACTCATGAAATACCGTCCATATCTGTTTCAGACATAACAGGAAGTCTCTGCTTTCCCACCTGTGTGGGGGCAATGGGGAAGCTCACTCAAATAGTGAGACACAGTGGTTTCCCATTATCTCTGACATGGGCTTCAAATCATAGAATGGGTGATGGAGAGGGTCTGCAACACTTAGTGCTTTTGTGGAGGAAGCTGAATTCTTGGTTTTTTTTATACTGACATTTTAAACTGCTTGGAAATGGGATGCTTAGTGTATCATAAAAGCAGGGCTGGAAAAAATATTTTAACTTCCAAGGAGTCAGCATTGCTCTTTCAAGAGCCAAACATACAAAGAACTGAAAAGGTGCAAGCAGCAATATTTCAGGTGCTTTTGAATTATCTTCAGCTTTTCTGAAGAGAGAGAAGTAATTTCCATTACAAGCAAATTCCTGTTGGCTTTATTTCTAAAATCCCATTTAATTTCCGTAAACCCCCCCCCCCCAAAAAAAAATCTTTCTAGGCTTCACTTCCATGATAAATATGCAAGAATCTAATCTGTAGCAGGACACTACTGGTTCTGACTGTGTCTTTAGTGAACACCATTGCTTGGCTGTGTCCGGTCTTTTTAAACACATGGAGCCCTCCAGACCTTTGCTGCTTGAAAAATATTTCTGATTTTAAAAACTCTTGTATACCTGCCAGCAGAGTGGTAATAAAATCCATGCCTGGACTTGTACTTCTCTCATGCATAAAGACATGAAATTACATACCTAAGAAGAGGATGCAGATGTGATTTTTAATTTTTTTTCAAAAAAAATCTCCCATTGTACTGTGGCCTCTCCCCTACCGCCTTGGGGAATATTCAGTTGGAATGCCAAACTATAGCTTGACATTATGAGAACACACCTCATACTTTTAGGCACCCTTCTGTGCCAAGATTAGAATTTTCCAGTCACTGCCAGTTGGTCTGAACCTGGTGAGCTAATGTTTATAGCAGGTAGTCACTGTGGTACCCTCCAAATGTTGTTAGATTCCCTGCTGGAATAGCACTGGCAGGGAATTGCACCAAAAAGTGTAAGCCCGGGGTCACCAACCAGTGGGCAAATTTGGAATTTAGAGAGAGGACCATATGCACCAGTTTTAAAATGGTTACCGTGAAGATGACATAACAGAAAATGACTGCTATGGGCATAATGGCTTCACATCTTAAAGAGCAAAAGAGAGAGAGGACCACAAAATGGTGCTGACAAGCTTTCCCATCAGCTGCCCCATCAATGAGAGTGGGAAGCACCTATACTGGCTACAGCTATGCTTGCTCACAGTGAAGCTCTTTTCAGCTCCTGATGGAAGCGTGGGCATCCATTCCTGGCATCCAATGAAATGTGGTCATGTTGAAGGGTGTGTTCAGTTTAGGAGAGGCTGAGCCAGTGTAAACAAGAATTGACTAGGAAGAGCAAACACTCTCCTGCATTAGATTTTTGAAAGGAAACTTCCTGAGACCTTTTGAAAATAACATAGGGAGGTACTGGTTGGCAGCCACTGGTGTAAATTACGGATTGGATTGCTCTTACTGTTTTAAAGCAGCTAGTAGGTGCAACAGCAATGGAGCCAAAGAATGTTGCTTCTTCCCGGATTTCTTGCATATAAAAATGCTAACATGTTCCGTATGTTCTAGCTGTAATAGTAGTTCCTTTCCATTAGAAACTCAGCCTGCAGTCTGACTGCATCACCAGAAGTTTCTACAGTACAGTGGTACCTCAGGTTACATACGCTTCAGGTTGCATACGCTTCAGGTTACAGACCCCACTAACCCAGAAATAGTGCTTCAGGTTAAGAACTTTGCTTCAGGATGAGAACAGAAATCATGCTCCGGCGGCCCCATTAGCTAAAGTGGTGCTTCAGGTTAAGAACAGTTTCAGGTTAAGAACGGACCTCCGGAACGAATTAAGTACTTAACCCCAGGTACCACTGTAATTTACAGTAGGCCTATGGCTACAGTTTTGTTCAGCTTACTTGTGTATAACTAAGTAAAGTTGCCAAGCTCTTAACTTTCTGGATTCAGTTTGATTTATTCACCAAGTTCTGTAAACACTCATTCCTGACCATTGGCTATGCTGGCTGAGGCTGATGGGAGTTGTAGTTAAACATCACATTGGCTACTTCTCGTTTATAATTAACCAGAAAATGGAATCATCTAATCTTGGCATGCAAGGGAAGGAGTAAGCGTGGAAGGTTGAGGTTCCTGATCCTAAACCAAACAACAATTAGAAGCTGTTCGGTGAGGACATTTTGCTAGAGTTGTGTGACAAAATAGATCTTACCTGTTTTACAGATATGAAATGCTATGTCCCTTTATTATGTAGGAGTTATGTTTATGTAGCTCTGGTGGTTCTTGTAAAAGGCAGGCAGTGTCATGTACACTCATATTTCCAAGCTACACTAGGAATTTTTTAAAGGAACTTTTATCAATTAGGCATGCAATATTTAATTTATTTTAATTTGTTAATTAAAAACTGTCTAAATATGATCTGAATCTTTATTTTGCATTGTTTTCTCTTGTTACAGGAATGTTAACTATTACAGATTTCATTAATATACTGCATAGATACTATAAGTCTCCAATGGTAGGTACAACCTCATAAATACAATTATCATTAGTGAAACAGTATCCCTGAAATAAAAGCATTGATAACAGTATATTTGATAATAATAATTTTTGTTGTAATTGGATGGGTGGTTGAAAGAATGTTGCCTTTTGAAGAGGAAGGAAAGTTTTGCTGCTAGATTCTGAATGGTACATGTGAAATTAAGATCCCCACCTTTTCTGTAGACATTTGGTCAAAGGTTTCTTTATCTTATATCACTTATTAGTTATTGAATAAGAGAGATGATAAGAACCATTATTCCTGTCTTCATATCAAACTTGATACTTTAGGTTAGTGTTTCCTGAACTTGGGTCTCCAGCTGTTTTTGGACTACAGTTTCCATCATCCCTGACCACTGGTCCTGCTAGCTAGGGATGATGGGAGTTGTAGTTTAAAAAACAGCTTGAAACCCAAGTTTGGGAAACATCGCTTTAGATCATGGGTAGGCAAACTAAGGCCCGGGGGGCGGATCCAGCCCAATCGCCTTCTAAATCTGGCCTGCGGACAGTCTGGGAATCAGCGTGTTTTTACATGAGTAGAATGTGTCCTTTTATTTAAAATGCATCTCTGGGTTATTTGTGGGGCATAGGAATTCGTTCATCCCCCCAAAAAAATATAGTCCAGCCCCCCACAAGGTCTGAGGGACAGTGGACCAGCCCCCTGCTGAAAAAGTTTGCTGACCCCTGCTTTGCACGTCTCAGATATTGAGGAGTATGTTTTTTATTTCTCTGGTGCATGGGGTAGCTGGCTTAACCATGGTAGTTATAAAATGATATGCACAAACCAATATAAAAAGCAGAAATAACATGGATGTAACACAAAGTATGCAGAAAATATGCACAGTGGAATGGAGCCAGTGTGGTTTAGTACGTCAAATAAGTGTTGGACTGCAGATACCTTGATTCAAAGGCTGGTTTAACTGTAAAAATAACTAGTTGTCCTGGGGCAAGACACTCTAGGGCACTAGGTTTGTTGTAAGACTGAAATGAGCCAACCCCTCCACAGTTTCATAATATGAAGTTAGGACACAAATTTATACGCAGAGATCCCACTTATCCACCTGCTCATTATCCAAAAATTTCACTTATCTGAACATAGTAATACCCAAATCTTGCTACATACAAAGCTGATTGATATCCAAACAACTGGAGTTTGCCCACTTCCTTCCTTGTTTGTGCTTTGTTGGTCTACAGCAGACATTTTCGGACAGAAACCATGGAGAGAGGGAGGGAGGAGAGAGAGGGGACAAATTAAATTTGTCTTTGTCTCTTTTTTCCTGGTTGGCTGCAGCCCTTTTATGAAGAAACATGGTGGGAGGGAGAGAGATCATGGGTTAGAAATGTTCACATAGGAAATAATGGAAATCACCAGTTTGTTATGCAAACCCTTGCCTAATGAACAATTTCCTGGGTACACATTGTGTTTGGCAAGTGGGAACTGCATGTAGTTGTACAGGCATGCTGCTGGGATCCAAGATATATCTGCTACATAGCAATCGTGATTGGTATCCAGCCTGTTAGTTCCTGTTGTTCGTTTCAGCATAGCAGCTTTATCTGAACATGCCAACTGTTCCAATTTGAAACTCTTCTGCCTTGCATACAAGGTTAAAATGCACTTTCCTATGTGCTTTAATGCCAGTAAGTTCCAGTTCTCCCTACAGTCAAGCACAGAGCATATTGTTGGAACCATATAAATTCAGTTATAGGGGGAAACCCTTTTGGTGCACTTTTAAGGAGAAGAACTTCCTTTATTAGTTTTTTTCAGGAAATAATCAAGTTGTGCAAGGAGAGGAAACAGCTGACCATTTGGTAGTTAAGTCTGATCTACTACTTGTATTTCCCTGTGTACCTGATGCATTTTGTTGGAACAGAGACAGTGAAAATGTTTAAAGAAAAATTTAGATTTCTTTCACCTAAGAGTATACAGCCTGATCCTAAAGAAATATATCGCTGGAATGGTGCACAGACACAGTGGGTCAAATGCTTCCTTTTATGATGCCTGTCAGCCATGACACACATTTGTCTATGTATCCAGCTCTCCCAATACTGGCTTGGCTAGGCAAAACCCTGTTAATTAACAATCCTGTACCAAGGAGAAAGTGGAGTTTTGGGAAATTCTCACCCAGCCTAAAGTCAGGCAAATCTTATCAGATTTGGACACAATGGGAATGAGTATGAAACAGAGCTTTGGAAACTAGGGTTGGGCAAGGAGCCTGAAAAGGAACTGGGGCTGGATTTCCCATTGAATTGAACCTGCTAAATCTTTGGCTGCAGGGCTCTATTTATAACAGATACCTATTACTTGTCAGGTGCTTAGATTTCCACTGATTCCTAGGATGTTGCATATGTTAATTGTCCCCAGTCCTTGCGTCTGTCTTTAGCTTTCTTCACTGTTTCTGTGCCACAAAACAGCTGTCTACAACTAATCTATGGCCCTTCTCCTGCGGAGGTGATAGGGCTATACTACTTTAGACTGCAGTTTGGAGGCTTTCTCTGCTGAATATTCCTCCCTACACATTTAGAAATCTAGATGTTAGGGAGAAGAGTTCTATTTTGCTATGTGGATGAAATTTTATGGATATGGCGCCCCCAAGCAATCTCAGTGCTATAGCCCAAAATAAATTTACCACATTAGTAAATAACTATGCTGGTCAAATGGTGACTTATCACCAGGATAGTGCTGACCTATGCATTGCGCTGATGTAGCTGTTCTACTGTGACCAAAAGCATCATAGTGATTTATTGAATTTAGGTAACAGTTGCCTGTAGCTCTTCAACAATGCTGGTTTTTTGCTTGTAGTGTTGCTTCAATCACATTTTCCCCATTTTGGCTTAGTATGTCTAGAACACATGGAGTAAACATGGTACAGTCCAGATTTTGTGGACTGCATCAGCCCCAGCCAGCAGCTGCAGTAGTCTGGGATGTTGGGAGTTTTGGTTCACACTCACTGGAAGGCACTAAGTTGGCTATTTCTGGCTGAGGGAATGTTTGTTGTTAGTAATCCTTCAGTTGCTAAACAAAGTCAACAAGTTATTTGACATTGAAGTTTGCCATTGTTCTAAAAGGAATAGCAGCAATAAAGAATTTATTATATTTGAATAGTTGAAAAGGCTACTCTGAAAAGTACCTATTAATTGTAGGTTTGTTTGTTTTTAATTTGTTGCAGCAGGAGAAGCAAAAGTTCTTTTTGCATAAATGACCGTCAGACATTTAACTCACTGAAAATGAATAGTCTTGCTCTGTCAGTTACTGAAACCATAAATTCACTAAATAGTGAATGGAATTAATCATGATGTAAATATAATTAATTTTGCGCAGTTCAAACAATCCTTCATATAATGGTTTGGAGGATCAGGCATAAACTGCAGGCATACATTTGCCCTTTTTGCTTACTCTCCTCCATTTCTGGTTTTCTGTAATCTGAATTGGGTAAATAATTGAATAGAGGCAACCAGAAAATGGAGGAGGGAATCTGCAAAGGGGAAACATATGAGCCTGTGGCATGTTCCTAATCCGCCAAACCTTGAATGGGCCATTATGTTCGACACAGTGGGTAGATGTGATGAGAGATGAAATGCAACTTTGTGAATTTTAAGTGTAAACTTAGCACTATATCTTTTTGCACTTTGAAAACCATAATTTCAATTTCAGAATCATTAGATGGGTGCATTTTGTAACTTGAACTCCCTAGAAACCATAGTTACTTCCTCTCCAGAGTTATTGTCCCCTTCCCTTCCTTGTTTTTCATGCTACATATTCACAGGCACAAACCATGTTCATTGATGATCCCAGCTCAAATATGAATACAGCTTCCATTTTACAAAGGGATGCCTAGTTTGCATTGTTGAAGTGAATTTCAAGAAGAAGAAAAAAGGAGTAACATCTGGAGAGTGAAGGAAAGGGAGCACCATTAATGAGCATGACTCCTGATTTGCAAACCATGGGTCTGTAGAGGAGCCAGGAATTTTAAATTAGCACTGCAGCATTTTCAGCATCAAATAAGGGAGTGATCGTTTTTGTAAGGCAATAAAATCCAGCTGTACCACTGCTGTAAGAGTTGCATGCATTCCAATAGCTTATAAGTGTTTTCCATATTTGCTGATGTGTATGGATTCGGGGTTTTTTTGCTCCATCATGAGGAAAGTTGGAGTATTGTAAGTAGAGTTTCTATTTTGCATTAGAGTGCCAAGCACCCATGCCAAGGGATTTCTGTACAAAGTTCAAGTTCTTTCCATTGCTACAAACATTCCTGCCATTACTCAAATCATTACTGTTGCAGTAATGTCAACAAGTCAAACTCTATATACCAAAATTGGTACTTGGTTTTTAAAGGGTGCTGCAAAGATTCATTCCCTTTAAAGAAGATTTCTTAGGCAGAGAAAATGAAATATGCTTCTTAACTCTTGTGGCTTGCATTCTTTAGAGCCCAGTCTAAAATTCAACATTCAAGAGCTCTTTTAACCCGAACTTCTGAATTATTGAAGCATGGTGCCATAGTGTCAGGAGATGGCAAAGCTGTAATTCACTGTCCCACCTCTGCTAATGTTATTTGGGAACTGCAGGGAAAGATGCTGAACTCGAAAGTGTAACATTCTGGAATCTCCAGTTCTTTTGCGCCTCCTGTTATCTTGGGGTCTGGTAGCAATTTTATGTCAGGGTAGGGATGACACAGTGGATCTGCATATGTATGTTAGTGCAAAATGAGTGTGCAGAGAGGGCCTTTACCACACACAAGTGTATAAGATTCTACAATGATATGCCAGTATAACTTTGAAGATTCATTTGCACATCTTGGACAAGCACACACGACACTACTGGGCATGTGTTGCAATCTCCTTCCCTTCCCTTATTAGTGTTAACTATGTTGCAGCATTTTGTCTGCACTAGCATTAACTGTAGTTAGCTTTGAAATTAGGGTTTCTACCTGACATGGAAAACTGCTTAGTTTAACGCAGATGTAATGCTGCAGTATGGGGAACACTAACCAGGGAAGGATGGAAGTTTCCGAGCCTGTGGAATGCTCCCGATTGCCTAATCGAATATGACAAATCAAAAGTGGCATTTTCAAACTTACTTTTAAAGTAAGTGTCTTGTAAAGAATGCATGTAAAAAGGTAAAGGTACCCCTGCCCGTATGGGCCAGTCTTGACAGACTCTAGGGTTGTGCGCCCATCTCACTCAAGAGGCCGGGGGCCAGCGCTGTCCGGAGACACTTCCGGGTCACGTGGCCAGCATGACAAAGCTGCATCTGGCGAGCCAGAGCTGCACACGGAAACGCCGTTTACCTTCCCGCCAGTAAGCGGTCCCTATTTATCTACTTGCACCCGGGGGTGCTTTCGAACTGCTAGGTTGGCAGGCACTGGGACCAAGCAACGGGAGAGCACCCCGCCACGGGGATTCGAACCGCCGACCTTTCGATCGGCAAGCCCTAGGCGCTGAGGCTTTTACCATAACTGTACACAGCTAGTGATGGGGATAAGGGGCTGCTGCTGACACTCAAGTTATGATGTAATCTTAATCTACATAAGAAAATGGAAGATGCCCAACTTTTCTGCCTCAGCAAGATTTTTTTCATTATTTTCTTGACAGCAGAATGAATATATTTTGTTAGCAATTCATTTTATACCTGGTTATTTCAACCACTTTTCAGCCAAGTGCTCTGATTAGTTTTATCAGTGTAGGAAAATAAAATTTCATTTTCAAAATATGCAGATGAGAAACTTGTTCATCCCAGGGCTGGCGTTAGCAATTAGTATTTTCTCACCACCCTTAATTCCTGTTTGCTGTAATGTGCTTGCAACAGAGCATAAGAAAATGATTCAAATTAGAATGTAATTGTCAATTCCAGTGGCTGTGTATGCAGAAAATCTAAGTATTTGTTTGGGATTTGGGTTTAGTTTCCAATTTGTCAGCCTTTCATTGCATTTTAAAGTCACCCATATTACTATAGTTAGTCTCAGCATATTAACTATGTGCCTCAGTCCTAATTACTTGAAGGTAAATAGCTTTTAGTTCACTGGCCATTTTAAAATTATATGCTAAAGATTTGAGCTTTAAACCTGTTTTTTCTTTGCAGGTACAAATCTATGAATTGGAGGAGCACAAGATTGAAACCTGGAGGGGTAAGTACCCTTTGAAAGATATGCACTAAGAACATGATTCACAGCCTGTTATGCAGTACTATACTATGTGTTGTCCTTAATAGGGGAAAGACTATATAGTTCAGTGGTAGAACATCAGCTCTGCATGCAGAAGATCTCAGGTTAAATTCCCAGCATCTTCAGCTTGGGCCAGGAGACACCTTGCCTGAAACCCTGGAGAACCGCAGCCAGTGAGTGTAGACAATATTGAGTTACATAGACTAATGGTCTGACTCAGGAATAGTTTCCTATGTTCCCTTAGCCTGAGAACCCAGATATACTTGGGCTCTGCCATGGGCTGTGGAAGAGATTCCAACACAAGTGTGAGTGCTGGAATCCGTCCTAATTGCTCATATCTTGGGAAAAGCTCAAGTCTGTTGTAGTCTGTAAAATTCTAAAGGGATTAGCTCATATTAAGGTCTTTCTTTGCAGGAAGGATAAAATTACAGGAAGGTAGGAGTTGGAGGTGTAAAGCTTTAGAGACAAAATTAATGCAGGTATTTTGGAAAAGCTCAAGTCCTCATTTTGGCAAGAGTAATGGAAGTAGTAAAAGAGATTACTGGATATGATTTGTTGAATCCTAAAATATTGCTTTGGGGATATTTGAAGGATCATCTATTGCTGGAGGACTTTAAAACGGTGAATAGTTTACATGATAAGAGTTATCTTGGAAATCCCCCTGAAACTCTTTATTATCATCCTCATATGAGTGAATGTGTTATTTCTTATAAAACTTTCATGTTGTAAGAGAGGATGATCACCAGGCAAGTTTATTGAAAAGTGTTTTTTTATCAACCACTGGAAGATGAAATATCACAATAATATTCACATGTATGTATTATATATTTCCGACTGGTGGTGTAAATTTTAATTATTACATGTTGCATGTTTTGATTTAAACATGGATAATAATGGCTTTTTGTATTTATATTTTCATAAATATAAATTGCCTCCCTTTGCCTCTTTCCACCTTACCAAGTCACTCCTCAGGAAATGATGGTTAGATAAAAAATTGAAGATCTTTCAAAAAATATTCATCTTGAAGATGTGTCTTCAGGACATGCTATGTGTTGCAGAAAAAGTTGGAAGTTCATTTATTGCTGCAGGTGCCTGAGAAGACAGTGGTGCCTTAAAAACAAAAAGCACTTATATTAGTAATCTGAAACACTTCTTTAAAATACCCTCTGCTCAGCCTTTGCTGTCTACTTTTTTATGGTATTCATGTGTATTAATATAGTATTATAGTGACCTCTAGTGATTGCTCTTATGAACCACTGCCATTCTTTAATTTAGTAAATCATGGATTGTCCTCCCTTTCATATGCCGGGTTCACTGCTAAGAGTAACACCGGGGTGTGTGTGGATATTTCATGAAATACTATTTTTATTATTAATTTATGAAGCATTGGTTTTGTTTTTAATTATACAGAGCTTTATTTACAAGAAACCTTTAAGCCTTTAGTGAACATTTCACCAGACGCCAGGTAAGATGCTTTTCTACTTTTGATTTCTTAAAAAGTAAATTGTGCTAATACATCCATCACACAGCTGCAAGGGACAACCTAAGACAGATAGTGCATGTTAGCAATTGGTGTTTCTAAGTCTCTAACTTCAATTAAGTTTCTAAATTGGTGATAGGAACCTTTATGGCTTTTCTTAGAATCTTTGGGGTTTTTGAATCTGATTTTTTGGGGGCGGGTCATGATTACACAAGAAATAGTGAGGATATGGCATAGGTTTTCTTCCTTTCCACTCCTGCTTCCAGTTACATGTATTTCTGTATGTAGTATTAGTATATTACTATATAAGTGAAGCTTGTTATGCCATAATTAACCATCCATTCTGTGTAACCCTTCCAAGCCAGCACAAGGACATTTAGTGAGAAAGCTGTTGTGTTTATTACTGTTATTGCCCTCTATTTTAGTTTGCATTTGAATCTTACTAATCTTCAGGTCCTTATAAGTAAAACCTTCTCTTTCCCCACCCCATCACAAAGCATTTCCCCCTCTTAACAGCTTTCCTGTTTGGCTGACAGGATCTGATATAATATTGATGTTAAACTGTACTATACCTACTTTAACAATGATGTAATGAAATCATCTGTCCTTTAGCTCAGTTTTCACAACTTCCTCCAACATTATTTACTAAAAATCACTTAATTGGTAGAGTGTAGCTTTGGGGGAATCATCAAAGCTGTCTTCGGATATCACAGTAAGAATATACTAACAGTTGCAATAACTTTCTCTTCAGCCTTTTTGATGCTGTATATTCACTGATCAAAAACAGAATCCACAGATTGCCAGTTATTGACCCAGTGAGCGGAAATGCACTTTATATACTTACCCATAAAAGAATCCTCAAGTTTCTCCAGCTTTTTGTAAGTAAAATAATAAATTCCTATTACTTCTTGATGTTGGAACAGACAAAGCTCACTGTTACATTAGTAAAGTCTTTATAAACAACTGTACTGATATGATCCCTTCCCTTTGAATACTCTACACTTACACCGGTACAGAAATAATAGGTATGTTCCCGTTGCCTCTCTTCATGCAGTTGGTAGCAAGCCTTTACTCTGCACTACAGTGATAAAAGTGTTTCCATCCATAATAACTATGCAGGAAGTATTTTAATTGGACCTGTGCAATCAAGCAGTCTTCAAAAAGACTCTTAAATTATCCATTCACTTTTGCAGGTGACACTTCATCACCCGGTTTGCATGTGTGAGAGGAAAATCAAAGCTTCTGCTTTCACTGCAGACTAAAGCACCGTTTCCTGTTACGTACAAACTTGGCACCTTAGTCTATTCTAACAAGATCCTGGATTCTTTTATCCTACTGGAGTTTGCATAAGGAACAGTTCTTTTAAGTTTTTATTTTAGTGAAAAGTGCAAGCTTCTACTCACATTTCTTGTTCATAGAGGAGGAGAGGGTTCAAATCCAAGGCTTGGCTTGCCTCATTTGCAGTCATCTGGCCTAGTTCAGTCACTTGAAACTGTAGTTGATCTTCCTAGGTTTTTATAAAGTTTAGGAGTATAATGAGATTATAGTTGAGAATTATCAAATGACCACATGGATGGTTTTTCTTGTCTCACTTTTCCTGTGGCAAAATTTCTCGTATTGGGATGGGTCACGCAAATAGCGTTTACGGGGTATTCAGATGGCAGCAACTTTTTAGTGTTTACTGCCAAGAAACCTTCATGGTAAAAATCTATGCAAACTCTGCATTCCCATAATAGGGCTCACCACTGAGTTCAGAGACAGGATTGGAGCCAAACTGGGGCGCTGAGAAAGGAAAGAGGTATTGACATGCTCAGAGGAACTCTGAGGTTTGCAGAAGTAGAACATTTTGAAAAACAAACCACAAAACAGCCCAGTGAGGACTGAGCATGCTCAATAAGCACAGAATATTGATTGATTGTTGGAAAATAGAAATGTAGAATGGACAGGGTCATGATTGGCTGGCTGAAAACCTGTCCAGGAGCATTCCTACTAAGAGGCGAGGATACACTGCAACATTCTTGGAGGTTCCACTTGTCTGTAATTGGTACAATAAAAAGATATGCTAGTAAAACTCCTTAGACATGCTATCCCTTTCATAACTCTCCTGCAAAATTCAGTGTGCTAAATGTCACAGCTGCAGAAGCATGTCCAAATGATGCCTGGGTTATACGACACTCAGAAGTTCTAGCATGCAACCTTATATAAGGCATTAATAATTGCATTGTGAAGCTTGGACAAGGAAGCAGCAAGCTTTGAATAATAACTGTGCTGTTTCATTCATAAGCTACATCTTCAAAACACCAAGGACACTTGTGCAACTGCAATCCATGCTGCAATTATAAAAGCTGTGAACGTGTTACTGTATATTGGATATTTATTGTGTTTTCCCAGTTCAGGGCATCCCTATATGGGCAAGAAACGTGGGACAGAATGCCAGAATAGAGTGCAGCTTCAAAGACAGTATTAGCTTCATTCTAACGCATTTGACTTTGCCCACTAATCTTAAACTTACTAGGCTACTAAAATATGTTACCAGTTGAAAGACATGATAAGGAAATTCCTTGCGTGGTAATTTTTTTAACTGTGTGAGCTGTGTAGCATAAAAATGGTTAAATATGCCTTTCAAACAAGTAGTATTTTACTTCTTCTAGGTGTCAGAAATGCCAAAGCCTGCCTTTATGAAGCAAAATCTGGATGAACTTGGGATAGGAACATATGACAACATCGCCTTTATACACCCAGACACTCCTATCATTAAAGCATTGAATATATTTGTAGATAGAAGGATATCAGCACTACCTGTTGTGGATGAGTCAGGTTTGTATTCAGTAAAATGGCTATCGTTTGGAAGGAAATAGTTTATTTTGCCATTGGTTATCTGTTGTAAGTGCTAAATTATCTGAGCCGCCTTATTAAATGGGAAAAAAATAAAAGGAGAAAAAAGTTTCTTTATCACCCTTTGATCAATCTTTTATTCATAACATCTCTATCATCTCACTTGAATTAATTATGTTTCTAGGAAACTGTAATAGAACAAAATGGTTCCATTCTGTTTTGGTTATCTTGCTTTTCATTATCATTTAAAGCACATTTGTACATATCCCTTTTCCACTCTCATCAAACCCTATAGGATCTAGAACAAAATATATTTTTGCTTCTCTTTTCAGTTGTGTGTTTTCACTTCAATAAAATTACTCCTGATTTACACCTCTATTTTTATTACACCTCTGGAGTAATTTTATTTTCCTTCCATTCCAATATAATGTACAGAAAAGTGCAGATGGATTGTGCTTTTGCATTTCTTGAGTAAGGAAGGCGAAATTTCCCATTAATTACTTTCTGTGCTGAAATCATTGAAGCTAAAAATTAACTGTTTCCTAAAATATGTTCACCTTTTTATATGGATTCATCCTGCACTATAACTTGTTGACTCAAAAGTAAGCATGTACAGAATCACAGGCCTAGTGTGTGTCATATACACATTATGGAAGTAAACCCCATGACCTCTGAATAAACAAGCATGGGACCAAGCTGTAAATCTGTTAGTACAACTTCTAGGCGTATTTATAATAATAATAATAATAATTTATTATTTATACCCCGCCCATCTGGCTGGGCCTCCCCAGCCACTCTGGGCGGCTTCCATAAAAACCAAAAATACAATAAAATATCACATGTTAAAAACTTCCCTGAACAGGGCTGCCTTAAGATGTCTCTTGAATGTCAGGTAGTTATTTATCACTTTGACATCTGCTGGAAGGGCGTTCCACAGGGTGGGCGCCACTACCGAGAAGGCCCTCTGCCTGGTTCCCTGTAGCTTTGCTTCTCGCAATGAGGGAACCGCCAGAAGGCCCTCGGCGCTGGACCTCAGCGTCCGGGCAGAATGATGGGGGTGGAGACGCTCCTTCAGGTATACTGGACCGAGGCCGTTTAGGGCTTTAAAGGTCAGCACCAACACTTTGAATTGTGCTCGGAAACGTACTGGGAGCCAATGCAAGTCTTTCAAGACCGGTGTTATATGGTCTCGGCGGCCGCTCCCAGTCACCAGTCTAGCTGCCGCATTCTGGATTAGTTGTAGTTTCCGAGTCACCTTCAAAGGTAGCCCCACGTAGAGTGCATTGCAGTAGTCCAAGCGGGAGATAACCAGAGCATGTACCACTCTGGCGAGACAGTCCGCAGGCAGATAGGGTCTCAGCCTACGTACCAGATGGAGCTGGTAAACAGCTGCCCTGGACACGGATTTGACCTGTGCCTCCATGGACAGCTGTGAGTCCAAAATGACTCCCAGGCTGCGCACCTGGTCCTTCAGGGGCACAGTTACCCCATTCAGGACCAGGGAATCCTCCACACCTGCCCGCCTCCTGTCCCCCAAAAACAGTACTTCTGTCTTGTCAGGATTCAACCTCAATCTGTTAGCCGCCATCCATCCTCCAACCGCCTCCAGACACTCACACAGGACCTTCACCGCCTTCACTGGTTCTGATTTAAAAGAGAGGTAGAGCTGGGTATCATCCGCATACTGATGAACACCCAGCCCGAACCTCCTGATGATCTCTCCCAGCGGCTGCATGTAAATGTTGAAAAGCATGGGGGAGAGGACAGAACCCTGAGGCACCCCACAAGTGAGAGCCCAGGGGTCTGAACACTCATCCCCCACCACCACTTTCTGAACACGGCCCAGGAGGAAGGAGCGGAACCACTGTATAACAGTGCCCCCAGCTCCCAGCCCCTCAAGACGGTCCAGAAGGATGCTATGGTCGATGGTATCAAACGCCGCTGAGAGATCCAGCAGAACTAGGAAACAGCTCTCACCTTTGTCCCTAGCCCGCCGGAGATCATCAACCAGTGCGACCAAGGCAGTTTCAGTCCCATGATGAGGCCTGAATCCCGACTGGAAGGGATCCAAATGGTCCGCTTCTTCCAGGCGTGCCTGGAGTTGTTCGGCAACCGCTCGCTCAATCACCTTGCCCAGGAATGGAAGATTTGAGACTGGGCGATAGTTGGCCATCGTGGCCGCATCTAAAGATGGTTTTTTAAGAAGCGGTTTAATAACCGCCTCTTTCAGCGGGTCTGGGAAGGCTCCCTCACGGAGGGAAGCATTCACCACCCCACGAAGCCCATTGCCCAGTCCTTCCCGGCTAGCTTTTATAAGCCAGGATGGGCAAGGATCCAGGAGACAGGTGGTTGGTTTCACTCGTCCAAGCAGCCTGTCCACATCCTCGGAGGTAACAGATTGGAATTGATCCCACTCAACTTGACTAGACAGAACTCTAGCACTCTCCCGCCCCGGCCCTGCTCCCACGGTGGAGTCTACTTCCCGAATCTGAGCGATTTTATCTGCAAAAAACTTTGCAAAATCATTGCAGGAGAACATGTGGCCCGTACTGGGCCCCGATGTTGCAGGTGGTTCCGCTAAATTGTGAACCACCTGAAAAAGTCTCCTGCTGCTGTTTTCTGCAGATGCAATAGAGGCGGTGAAGAAATTCTTCTTCGCCGTCGCTATCGCCACTTGGTAGGCTCGACGTTGAGCTCTAACCTATGTCCGGTCAGATTCGGAATGAGTTCTCCGCCACCGGCGCTCTAGCCGTCTCAACGATTGTTTCATTGCCCTCAGATCCGTGTAAAGGAGCAGTCTGTTACTCGGTGCAAACCTAATGGTGCCCCATCTCCTAATCAAGATTGGGATATCATAGGTTGGCACGCTCCTATATTCTCCCCTCTTCTGTGAGCACATCCTTCTTGAAGAAGTGTGCATGCGCACACGAAAGCTTATACCCAGAACAAACTTAGTTGGTTTCTAAGGTGCTACTGAACAATTTTTTAATTTGTATAGAGCAGTCTTTGTGCTGGCGAGGGACTGGTGGGAGTTGTACTCTTAAAACATTTGAACTAGGTTGACAGAGGCTAATATAGAGTATTGTATTTGGTTTTATAGCTTAATTACCAACATAAAGTTTGTTTTATCTTCTGTTTTTAGGAAAAGTTGTAGATATTTATTCCAAATTTGATGTAATAGTAAGTATTTACATGTTTTATATCTTTTAAAATATATTTTATATCTCTCACTTTTGCCCAGAGGCTTTTCCTAGAGTAGAATGGTCCTTTTTGCTCTTCAGTTCCTTATATTTCTATGTTAGTCTCTAACTTCAATTATTCCTATGATGGTTTCCATGAGTGCTTCTAGAGGGGTGGGAAGGTAAATTTCCTTGGAGAGGAGAGAGCAGCTGGCAACCAACAAAAGACTGCAGTCTGTTACTCGGTGCAAACCTAATGGTGCCCCATCTCCTAATCAAGATTGGGATATCATAGGTTGGCACGCTCCTATATTCTCCCCTCTTCTGTGAGCACCCACCACTCAACTTGAGTTCTGTAGCTATCTATGATAAGTGTTAGAGTCTAAACCACTGAGCTTGCTGATCAAAAGGTCGGCGGTTTGAATCCCCGCGACAAGGTGAGCACCCGTTGCTCGGTCCCAGCTCCTACCAACCTAGTAGTTTGAAAGCATGTCAAAGTGCAAGTAGATAAATAGGTACCGCTCCGGCGGGAAGGTAAACGGTGTTTCTGTGCACTGCTCTGATTTCGCCAGAAGCGGCTTAGTCATGCTGGCCACATGACCCGGAAACTGTCTGCAGACAAACGTCGGCTCCCTCAGCCAGTAAAGCGAGATGAGCGCCACAACTCCAGAGTCGTTTGCGACTGGACTTAACTGTCAGAGGTCCTTTACCTTTACCTTTTTATGATTAGTATTATGTTTACACACTAATTTGCACTAATCCACAGTTTGCAACCATGATTAAAGTGGAAATCTGGTGCAAACTGAAATAGGACTACCCATTTGAGACAGGAAGGAGAGGAGTGTGCAAGCTCACTGGGTTTTCCTGATATCCTGAACTTGGTTTGGAGATCAGGAAACATTAATCTGCAAAGAGCCAATCATGTTTAGCAGAGGCACTATAGTCCTCCTAACTGGCATGCAAGCTTGGTCATAATGTTATATGTTTGTGCATCCTAACATTGCACATATTTATTTGGATTGTACTCTTAGCGTATCTGGAGGACTGGGTTTTTGGTCCATTTCTGAAGTGATCTTAGTAGCATCACATTCCTGATATACGGGGATAATACATTGGGTGTTTCGTTAAAAAAAAAAGAGTCTTATGTAATCACTTTTTTTCAGAATCTTGCTGCTGAAAAAACTTATAATAACTTAGATATCACAGTGACACAAGCCCTACAACACCGCTCTCAGTATTTTGAAGGTGTTGTGAAATGCAGTAAGCTGGAAACACTGGAGACCATCGTGGACCGGATAGTTAAAGCTGAGGTGAGAATTCTTGGACCACAACACATTTCTGAGTAGTGTTGCTAACCAGAATTCCAGCTAACACAATTTCAAAGAAGGACTCGGATGATGTCTGCATAAGACTCCTTCAAAGGTGTGCTAGAATGTGCATTTAAAATTATATTCTATAATCCTACATAAAGCACAACGGCTCTGTACTTCATGGATTCTTTATTCTAACTTTTAAAGACTTATATTTCTTACACTTTCTTTAAAATAAAAAAGTAATTGAGCATGATGAACTACTACAACCTTGGAGACTTTGGGTTTTGGCAAGCAGTGTGACCAAGCCCTGATTTTTGTGGCGATTGTGATGGCTACCTATGAAAACATGTGGCATTGTTGATGGACTGAAGTCTAAAGGTCTTTTGCTGAAATGAAGAGGTGGGAGATCTAAAGTTGCTCTAACCTAAGGTTTATAGATGATAAACTTAGGTGGACTGTTGGTGGTTATGTGAGAACTGTGACCTCTGCCATATTTTTTAAAACTTGATGAATATTAGTTTGCAAAGGCACATCACAGAAATGTGGATTCTGCTAGCGCACCCTTTAATCAGTATTTATGTGACAACTAGTATACGTTGGTTGAAAGGGGAAAAGAAATGCAAACTCATTGAAATGTTCTTGTAAGTTTAATACAAAGCACATGGTCTGGATAAGGGTGTAACGAATAATTACGCTTTGCTTTCAAAATACTGCACGTTTTGAATTCTGCAGTAATACCAGGGACAGGACAGTTCTTCTGGGATAGTGCTGCCTTTTAGCTACTGGCATGATCACCTTGCAAGCAGCAGGCTAGGAAGTAGCTTCTCCCCTAGGATGGGACAGGATAAATGTTATGAGGCATATGGGAAACTTTCCCATACAGCCATCACCATTGTAATGGAACATAAACTCTTCCTTCACTGACAAAGCCAACCAAGCCATACTATGCTTTCTCGTTTTCCCCTCTCCCTGCCCAATGCCCTAATTTCAGACCATAATTTGAAAAAGTGAAATGCAAAATATTCTGAGTTATATTTTTCATATGGGATAAAATCAGTTATGACAGCCGATCAGGTGCACACCTGATCTCTGACAAAGCAAGAACAGATAGCAATGGAAACTTTCCAACATAAACTAAGATAGGTGTGTGCTTTAAAATCAATGGTATATCAATTTTATTTTATATATTTCTAAACACAGACATAGCCAATTTTACAATATCTTTTCAGAAAGATGCCATGTAATTATTTCACAACATACGTAGATACCAGAAATCTGAATTAGATTGGAGGATGGGTGGAGGTTTTTTTTTTAAGTAATTGGTTATTACTGTTGCGTCTTGGCAGAGAAGTGATTGTACTGTCACTTTATTAATCGATAGCCTTTGAGTAATGAAGCTGTTGAACTTGAGAAAGATGGCCAAGTGACTGACCATGTGATAGTCCATACTTAATAGTCATATTAAACCCATCCATCATAATAACCCTGTCTAAAGTATCGCCAACGTAAGAGGAACATATATAAAAATAGAATTTCCCCCCTTTTCTATTTCTTTCCTGTGTTCCCCATTTGTATCAGGTGGGTATGACTGTTCAAATACAAGAGAAGAGGAGCTCTAAGTTACCTGGCCGGTATGTAGTTCACCTCTGTCCTAAACTGTTGAAGTACCTTGACTTGAACTTTGCTATGTCTATTTCTTTGACAAAGGCCTCTCTTGCTCTTTGTTTCTTGTATTTCTGAGTTACTTTTAGCCAACATTTTGATGGAAGTTTAGAGTGGTTACAAAATTGGAAAATGGTTGAGAGCAATCATAAAACATCAAATGTTTAGTAGAGCCGAGGTCATCTGTTGAGAGTCTGGTCGTTCTTTAAATGCTTTGTGGGAACTGATCATCTCACTATTTTGCATCTTTATCATTTGGGCATCTTTCCCAACAACAACTGCTGTCTTACTCAAATGTCTTCGTGGCAAAGCTACAAGTACTCCATGATAAGTGTGCGTATTTAAAAACAGCTGAACAAAACTTTTGTCAGATTATAAAGCGAAAAAGATGTAGACCTACTCTAGAAAAGCGTGTGAGATAAGGTTGTGGACTTTTCCCTCTCAAACAGCTGTTCACATACCCCATATATGAGATGCCAACTGTGGCATACTCCGTGTGGGTTTATGGCACTGCTGTTGGCATGTTCCCCAGTTCAATTAACTAGATGCAAACTCACAAACAGAGGGCTGCTGGCACTGTCTGCTCATCAATGCTTGACTGGTTGTACATTTGCCCAAAGGGGTGGCTGTGCAGTATAGCAAACTGCTTTTGAAACTCAGGAGATGTGATATGTGGGGAGGGTATGTTGTTTAAAAGTCCTACTGGGCAAACACAAACTATAATATGCACCTAAAATAGCGGTGCATAAATTTTAAAGACACACCATTAAACTGACGTCGTAAATTAGGCTAATCTAATTATAAATATGATTTAACTATGTATGGAACCAGTAACATTACACTTCACTTTTATAATAAAAATAGACTTGTTAGTTTTAGTCTGTTCCTTGTTAGATTATGTGGCAGTGTTTGGGTTACAGACAGTATCTATTTTTAACAAGAACTTTCCACTTGAATGTATTCATAATGAGTAGGAATAATTTCTGTTGAACTTTATATTCTGTTCTGACAATGAGGAAAATGCAATCTGCACTCTCAGATTTCTTCTATCTGTCGACGGACAGTTCTTTACTGTTAAGTAACACCTTGCTAGCATTTCAACAATTAGCCTTTCATAGCTGTGAAAAGTGAAATGTATTCTGCTACTGTGCAGCATGTCTCTGTTCAATTATAGAACAGCTGGGCCTCCAGTTATTCATGTACAAGCCCACAGAAAAGATGTGAATGCAAACACACAGTGCTAACAGTGAGGGAAATTGGGACTGCTTTTTAATGACACACTGGTGTAAAACTAAATGGTCTGATCCAGGCTTCACCTAGCGGCATTGGAAAATGGAACCAGTTCATGTTTTCTCTTTGTTTCTCACTGTAAATTCGATTTCAATGTGTTGTGCCCTCCTGGGTCTCTGGAGCTGAACAAAAATTTGTTCTGGAAAGTCTCTATATTAATTCATTGAGGGGGAGCCGAGTGTCCTTCTAAATAACTTGATTCATCTGGCTATTATTAACATGAACGTGGAGTGCACTGCTTATTGGCAAATACAGTAATCTTTTAATATGCTTTTGTTTCATGTTTGCAGGTGCATCGATTGGTGGTAGTGAATGAAGCAGATAGTATTGTTGGTATTATCTCCCTCTCGGACATCCTACAAGCTCTGGTGCTCTCACCAGCTGGTATGTAGGCAGCATTTATGTATTGAGTTCTTCTGTAACATACAAAGTATCGTACAATAACTTTATGCTCACAACAACTCTTGAAAGTTGAGACTGATGCTGATTTGCTCAAGGCCAAGTGGGCTTCATGACTGAGCCAGCTGTCTCCTGTATTCACACCAAATGTCACAATGATAACCTTATCTTAAAACCAGCACGTCTTTTAGTTAGCACCCCTAAAATGTGAATTTCTCCATTATGTGGAGAACTGGATTAATACTTCTAGTTATCAGTTAGTCGGACAGCTTAACCCTTGTGCATGTTGGAGCATTGGTATGCACAGTAATCTCTCCCTTGCACACAAATGTAATAGACTGAACTTGCACTTGCACTTAGTGCGCTGGGCTGCCTCTGATATAAGTGAGCAAAGAATTGTATACAGGCCACAACTGCTATGAATGCATTTGGGTGTCAGCTGAACTTTGCATCTGGACCATATTGTCCTCTAGCTAAAAAGTTTAAAATAACAAAAAGTACAGTGTATATTGCATTAGAGCTTAAAAGTAAAGTTTATACATTGTATATTATGAATAGTCCAAACTTCCATAAAAATAAAAGGTTTGGCAGAATGCATAATGGCTTTGAAAATTTCACTGGGTGCAGGGGTAGAAAGATCAAATTTTGCCAGGCACAAAAATGTTGTGTGTTGAATGCTGGGCAAATGCAATCTCTCCCATGATATGAGAGTATAGACCATGGGTAGGCAAACTAAGGCCCGGGGGCCGGATCCAGCCCAATCACCTTCTAAATCTGGCCCGCGGACAGTACAGGAATCAGCGTGTTTTTACATGAGTAGAATGTGTCCTTTTATTTAAAATGCATCTCTGGGTTATTTGTGGGGCAAAGGAATTCATTATTATTATTTTTTTCAAAATATAGGCCGTCCCCCACAAGGTCTGAGGGACAGTGGACCGGCCCCCTGCTGAAAACATTTGCTGACCCCTGGTGTACACATTTTCTCATATATATCTTTCCGTTAACAGGTGCCAAACAAAAGGAAAGTGAAACTGAATGATTGCTGTGAACGTATAAACCTTTGTAGAAGAACTTGATTGAAGTTACTGGGTCATCTTTGCCTCAAGAACACTGGCAGCACTAGAGAAGAGAGAAATGGGGATGAGTATGTGTGTATTGGGACTGAGTGTTGGGTAACTAGTCTATTACTTCCCAGTGACTGTCACACACAAAAAGCAGCATGACAAAAAGCTTATGTATTAAATACAGGCTTGCATTTCAAAATGTTTGCTGAAAGACTTCACATGATGTCGTTCATCTAAAATGCACTGTATCCTGAAACAAACATCTTTTGTATTTGATAGAAGTCACTGCTCAGCAACAGATCTCTGACATAAGGCAAGTGTATGGCATATTCATATCATAGTGCCTTATGTCAAAAAGCCAACAATATGTCATCGCTGTTGCCCATCACAATAAGAGGAAGTATTGTGTGAAACGAGACACTGTATTTGAATGTTCAAGTTGCTAAACCTAAAACCAAATCAGTTTCAGTTATCATTAGATTTGTCATAAAAGCTGTAATTTGAATATCAGTAGATTACCTTAAGACTTTAATGACAGTTTTGTGTGTTTATAAATGTTGCATTCTGAAGAGATGGTAAAACAAGACTGATCTAAAACCAGCTTTATTTATTTTTATTTTCTTGCAATTTTTTACACATCTTTGGTGGATAGCTAAAACTTCACCATATTCATTAATAAAACATTGATTGTTATATAAGAAGATCTCTCGTTACTAAAAACAGTGGTGCAAACCATGTGGCATTTAGATGGGTTGTACACAAGAGGCACAGAAATCAGGGGTTTGTCAAATGTATCACCACTAGACACCTCATATTTCCACAGAAAAGAAGCTATGAAAAAGTAATCAACAAAGGAAGGTGAATGTTGATTGCATATAAACTTGCAGAAAAGTAACAGTATCATGCTGGTAGTCTGTAAAGATTGGAATGAAAACCAGGGTGTGAGAATAATTCCAAAAGTCCTACTGTGTAATTTTAGTAACAAAAAAATCCTAGGTGTCCAGAAGATGGCATAATCCACTTAAAAATACACCCATAAATCTCCATATGCAGTACAACCACATGTTCTGGCATATTCCATTTTTAGGGCGATTCAGATTAATTCCCTTCAGAAGGCAAACTGATTATTTGTGTAAACTATAAACATATATTTGTTGTCCAAAATGTAGTTGTTTTTAAGGATGTGCTCGTCTCTTTTTAATATGCTTATTTTTTAAAAAAACCAGAAAATAGGCAGTTCTTTTCCCTTTTGAGAAATTAAAGAAAGATATCTGTGGAAGACTCTGGAGTTGAATAGCTTCTTTCCAGGGAAGGTCCTGTCCCTTAAGCATCTATTTGTCCCCTGTACATGGTGTGAATATGTTGGCTGTATACTAGCAGAATGTATCTCTGCAACAAGACTTCCCATCCCTACTGTTCAGACATCATTGCCAAAGTGCCTATGTTCAGTGCAATGTCCTGATTTTGGGGTGGGGTGTTCTAATAAAATACAGTCAGAGGGCTAGCCTCCCCAGCGCTTTAGAGTGTACTTGATCATTAATTAACTGTTTCTTCTTTACAGGTTCTGCCCATTTTATAATTGTTTAAAATATTTATATTCCACCTTTCTGCCTTGCCAATGCCTGACAGAAAGCAAAAATTAGTACAGTCAAATAAAAAAAAATTAAGGGCAGTGATAAAAGCTGTGGGCTCTGTTCACTCCTCCAACCTTTCAGTGTTTCTGCTGAGGCTGTTCCAACTGTGTCGCTTGAAAAGTTTCATGATAACCATTAGTTAACTTCGCTGGGGAAGGTTTGTTCCTTTTATTGTCTATTTCCTCCCATAGCAAATAGCTCTCTTTAACTATTACAAAATGAAAGGAAGCCAGTAATTAAATCTTCATACACACCACACACAAATGGAACAGGCTTCAGGGGCAATTCATAAGTAATCCACACACCCAGTTGTGCTGCATAGGTAGCAATAAAAAGCACTAAACCTGGAATAAGGCATCTACTAATGTTGCAAGAGACCTTTGCTGAATGGAACTGCCTTGTGAAGAAACATTGCAGAAGACTTGGCCATGAAGACTTACGCTTGTGGAGTATATAGTGCTGTATCGCGCCATGTAGAAACACACCGTTAATTCCACATCCAGATGCTTATGTAAGAGCAGTGTGAAAGGAAAATATATTTGCTGTGTCTGGACATTCAGAATGTGACAGAAGACAGGTCCTAGTTTTCTTCTGCATCATTTACATTCCAAATAGGTGATACATACAATGCAAAAAACAAAAGGAACTGATCGTGCTTACAATCCAGAATACCCTGTTCCTTTTATCTACTCTCCAAACTATTCTTGTTGAAGGGAGTCCGGACCCCTCCAACAATACATGATGGTCTGTGCAAATTTCATAGTCTACGTCTAAAGGGTGCCAGTACAGCATTGAGGTCTCTCATGAAAGGTGAACAATTATCCAGAGATTTCAGATGGGATAGATAAGATTTTGTCAGCTGCAGCCAGAGTTAACATGGCTGAGAAGGACAATGTACTTTTTCCACCATTGGTACTGACTTCTATCCTGCTTGTATCCTCTTCAGAATGTGTGCTTTAAACAGGTTAAACATTAAAATTAAATACGTAAGCGAAATACGTGTATGAAACAATAACTGGGAGCAATTATGAGTAAATGCTATTGGATAAGAAAACTACATCCTATGGTTGCCAAAGCATCTTTAAATTAAATAACACTTTATATGCTGAGAGATACATTGTATATACTAATAGTATACTCTTTCTTCAAGTGTGAATCCTTATGCAGCCAAAATGGCACAAGGAACTAGGGAAGTATCAGCAAGCTAGGGAGAACTCAAAGGTTTGCAGAAACAGAAAAACAGGAGGGGTTATGAAATAATATTATCTGAGAGGAGTGAATGGCTAGAACACAAAATATTATTTTATTTGTAGAACTACTTTTCGTTATAAAATGGTGAAGTAGTTTACAGAGGAAATCAACAAACAAAATTAATAGATGGGCAGGGTACAAGTAATAAATTATCATCATCAGAGCTATTTCTCTAGGAGAAGAGGTGCCAGAACTCACCATGAAATCCACCCTTGTTCTCTTATAATGGCAATGGCAGCCACCAGAGAGGTGCTGCAACTGAATTCCAGCGAGTTCCGGCTGAAATAAAAGCCCAGATTTTTTATTATTATTACAGTATATAGAACAGAAAATATCAAAATCCATGAAATGGGATTCCCATTTATATAATAAATAAAAGCCCGGATTTTTTATTATTATTACAGTATATAGAACAGAAAATATCAAAATCCATGAAATGGGATTCCCTTCACTCAAGATGCACATAAATTCTACTGAAACATCTGTAAAACTACCAGCATACATTCACCCATATATGCAAGCATGCTCTCAACAATTACTTGTCCCAACAATCTCCAGAGTACATATACAAAGACTCTACTATAACACTGTCAGCCTTCTCGGGTAATTCTTACTCAATCTTTTCTATGGGAAACCCAAACTTCGCTGCACCATCTGAGATGAGCCTAATCCTCACTACCCAGAAGGAGAAGGTTTTAAAAAATATTCATTGCATTTATAACCCAGTGGTTCTCAAACTTTTTTCTCTATGCTATACTTTCAAAATAAACACTTGCTCATGTTGCACTGATTTTTTTATTATTGATAAATGTATCTGAAAACAAAAAAGGACTCACAGCAATATTCTACAAATAAAAAATATTTTGATAATACAGGCGGTAACCATTTTGCTTGGGGGTTCCATTCCTGGCCCTCGGGTGGGTCAGGAAAGTGTGCATAAGCCCATTACTCCCTCATTCTGACCTCCAAAAGGACCCACTTGTCAGCAGTTGTGCATCAATTGGACGCGTACAAAATGGTCGCTGCCTGTATGCTATACTATACTGCACTGAAATGTTTAAATGTTTCTTTGATGATCCTTGAATCTTCCTGCCATACTGCCATCCTTTTCTGTCACACCAGTGTGGCACCACCACACCCTTACAAGAACCACTGCTCTTAACCACTACACCACACTGGCCCCCATAAAAGTTACTCTATGCTAGTTACACATATGCTTGGGAGAAGCAAGTGAGTTGGAGAATAGGAGATAGGAAGCACACCCATCACCATGTTGTCAACCAGCACACACACACTCCAAGAAATCCCGGGGAACCTGCATGCTTTGGAACCTATAATGTAGGTTTTGGGCAGAAACTTATAAGGCCTCTTCACCCAGTCCTTCACAAAGAGCAGAATTGTAACCATGTAAGTTGTAATACAGTGACTAATGTGCATATAATTTCTCTGTGTGAGTGCATACAATATTAGAATTATTAGTCACTGATAAAAGCAGCCAGTGTGGCGCAGTATAGTTGTAGCAGACTTGACCCGTGGCTGAAATCGCTGTGCTTGACCGTGAACCTCGACCAAATCACAACCCTCTTAGTTTGCTCTTGTTTACAGCGTGTTGTGAGGAGAAAACGGAAAAACTCAACTCTGCCGTTCCCTTCCTGGATGGGAAGGTTTTATTTTGAAATCTTTAGTTTTCTGTTAATTATGTTGTTTTGACTGTATACCCTATATTTGACTTTCTTCAGATTGTGTTATTTATGCTTTATTGATTTAATATGCTGACACAACCTTGATGGCAGAAAGTGAGAAGGAATTAAAGAACCTTTTAACGAGGGTGAAAGAGGAGAGCGCAAAATATGGTCTGAAGCTCAACATAAAAAAAACGAAGATCATGGCCACTGGTCCCATCACCTCCTGGCAAATAGAAGAGGAAGAAATGGAGGCAGTGAGAGATTTTACTTTCTTGGGCTCCATGATCACTTCAGATGGTGACAGCAGCCACAAAATTAAAAGACGCCTGCTTCTTGGGAGAAAAGCAATGACAAACCTAGACAGCATCTTAAAAGTAGAGACATTGCCTTGCCAACAAGGTCCGTATAGTAAAAGCTATGGTTTTCCCAGTAGTGATGTATGGAAGTGAGAGCTGGACCATCAAGAAGGCTGATTGCTGAAGAATTGATGCTTTTGAATTATGGTGCTGGAGGAGACTCTTGAGAGTCCCACGGACTGCAAGAAGATCAAACCTATCCATTCCGAAAGAAATCAGTCCTGAGTGCTCACTGGAAGGACAGATCGTGAAGCTGGGGCTCCAATACTTTGGCCACCTCATGAGAAGAGAAGACTCCTTGGAAAAGACCCTGATGTTGGGAAAGATGGAGGGCACAAGGAGAAGGGGGCGACAGAGGACGAGATGGTTGGATAGTGTTCATGAGTTTGACCAAGCTGCGGGAGGCAGTGGAAGACAGGAGTGCCTGGCGTGCTCTGGTCCACTGGGTCACGAAGAGTCGGACACGACTAAACGACTAAACAACAACAACAACAAACCGCTTGGAGATTTTTCTTAAAAATATAAAGGGGTATAGAAATAAAATAAAAATACTGTAGCCCCCTGATCCACACACGTGGTAAAACCATTCAAGGAATCAAACCCAATCAGTGTAAATATCGTAGCACTCGTGATTCAGGTACTGTACGCACAAAACCCTGGCGGCACACTGGATAGTAAGTAAGATACGTCAATGCATTTTTTTTAAAGCTTTCCCAGTGCAAACGGAGGGAGCTCAATCTGTCCCGTGCGCTGATTTGGGGGCCAAAGCGTGCGCAACCATTGCACTAGAACCGCACGTTAACACAGAAACCACCGGCGGCTTCCTGCCAGCTGCCCACTAGTTAAGGGGACATTTTGACAATGGGCCCAGCACGCACGTACTCAAGCACGCACGCACGCGCTGCTCTTTACCTCACGCAAGGCCGCTCCGCTATCTCCTGCCAATCACCGGAGAGACGACCCCCGCGATTCCACCCTCCCACACCTTCCATTCGGATTTGGCCAATAGCAGCGAGTCATCAGCGGGACCCAATCAGCAGCCCCGTTCGCGCGCAAAGCCGCCGCCCCGCCCCGCCCTCCGCCAACCAACAAAAAATAGCCGATATATCCAACCAACGCCTGCCCCTCCTGAGGAGGTGAAAAGGAGTGGGCGGGGTCGGGAGAGCCAGAGCCAGAGCCAAACAAGCAGGCGGGCCAACCCCCTTGAGGGAAGGATGACGCAGCGAAATTTCCAGCGCGAGCTCGGCTCGGCCGTTTGCCCGCCTGCCAGTCCAACGGTGAACCTCTCCCTCGCCCGTGACGCAAGCGCGCACGACGGCGGCCGTACGTGGGCGAGCGACTGCTGAGGCGAAGATGCGCGCACGCGCGAGCGGTGGGGGGGGGGTGAAGGGGGAGGAAGCGGAGGAGGAGACGGCCGAGGACGGCGGTTGTCACGTGAGTGAAGCGGGCGCCGTCGCATCGCAGTGCCTCTCAGTCAGCGAGTCCCGCGCGGTCCGTCTCTTCCCCTCACCCCTCCCTCCGCCGCCTTGCATGCCGCGCGCTGCCGCCCCCTGCCGCCTCTACCTGTCCCCAGCCGGCCCCACCTAAGGCCTCGGCCGCCCGCCGCCGCCTCCTCCGCCTCCTCGTCAGGAGCAGCGCCTCCCGTTCTCCCTCTCGTCCCGCCCGCCCGTGGCCGGAGCCCTTGATGTGGTTCGGGGCCCGGCGGGGAAAAGATGCCGCCGTCCAAGTCCCGTAAGATCGCCATCCTGGGCTACAGGAGCGTCGGTGAGTCACTCCCTGAGGCGGGTGGAGGGTGCGGGGAGCGGGCCCCGAAGGGCTCCCCCAGACCGGGGCGCTTCTCTCAAGCCCCCCACGCGGGCGCGCCCGGCCTCCGCCCTCGGCCCAAGTTGAGGCTCCGCAGGCGGACGTGCGCGCCGCTCCCGCCTCGTGGCTTGGCGGCCGAAAGGGGGCAGCCCGCCTTTCGAAGCCGGTCGCAGGTGAGGAGGACGACGACGACGACGACCCGCCTTGGGCCTGTCAGCCGTTTTCCGGGCGGGCTGCTGCCCTGCCTGCTTTCGGTGCTGGCGGGGATGGGAAGCGTGTGGCGGTGGCCTCGCGCGCGTGTCTGTGTGCATTTCCCCGTAACTTAGCCTCGCCGGGCTCCCCGAGGGTTGCCGAGCCACGCAGTGCACCCGAGGCAGATGCCTCACAACTCCCGGGGCCGTTTTCTCCGGAGAGGCTCCGAGCGGCCGTTTTGCATTTCCCGCGTCTGCAGAGGCGACTTGTTAATCTTCCGCGGTCTGGCCTCTCGGGGAACACCGTTCCCGCTCCAGGCTGACGTGAAATCGCTTTCCCAACCCACCCCCCTTCCTCGTGCAAAGCGTGGTTACGGGTAATGATGGTTTCCGGGGCAGCTCCCAGATGTCCACTCCCACCCAAGATCGCGCTTTCGCAATAATGATTTGGTAGCAGCCGCGAATAGTGAGTGACAATCCGTTTTTGCCGCTCCACACATTTGGTCTTTGAGAGCAATCGCTTCCGGTGACCCACCGCGTTAAGAAAATTGGGCTCTTGTGGTTTTTTTCCCTCCACCCCTCCCCAAAGTTGGAAACTGGTATGAGTTGGTGGAAATAATTTGCACATTCGGTTCTGCAAATTATCCTGGTCTGAAGATGACAGTGTGTCTTAAAGCGTTAGTGCAAGTTAACCAGTTTGAGTTTTGGTTCCTTAAACTACATTGCTATGTGGGTCAGTTATTATGGATTTATTGCATGTTAACAATGTGTTGGATACTGTACAGGAAGAGAAGTGATGCATTACTAAAACCATTCACCAATGAGGAAGATAACTATGGCTTTGTCTCGTCTCTTTGACATACTTTATAGACCCGCTTAAGCTTCTGCACCAAAGGACTTTCATAGGGAGTAAAACTCATTCAAGCAGAATTCCCCAGAATGCTGGTAGTGGTTTGAAACTAATCACAGGTGCAGTTTCTACATATAAAAGACATTAACTTCAGTTCGCTCTTTGTAAATCATTTTACTTTTTTGCTTAAAGTAGTTTAGATTAGGGGGGTCTCAAGATTTGCCAAATTAAGTCTCCCTAAATCATTGGCCAAGTTTTTCAAATGTAAGATTAGAAAGTAATTATTGTGGAGTAATTGAAAATGAAGTAATAATTTACTTAGGACATGTAGTGGAGGTGCAGGGGAATGTCTCTGAAAGAAGCCTCCTCCCTTTCCTAGCAGCTGCCTCCTTATGGAGGCCCAAATCAACTTCAGGGATTGGGCAAACTTCTTTTATTCTGCTTGCTCAAACATTTAGCAGCTTGTCTGGTTTCTGACTGTTTCCTCCAGGTGTGATGATGGGACAGGTAAACACATAGTAAAGGGTGTGACTATGTGTGTGTTTTACATTGGCTACTGTACAGCAAGTGTTAAAGTATATTAAATAGTATGTATTTGATTGTAGTAGAAAGCTCAATGGACACCTGGTCTTTGTCAGGTAAATGGGGTTACTTTCAAAATACATTTGAGGGCAAAGAGCATGTGACCACTTCTACAGCTGACAAAGCTGCATTGGGGACTCATCACATGTTTTATGGCGCAAACCTACAAAACAAAGTATTAATTACATGGGCACTTGAACACAGGTGTTTTCACATGTGTATCATTGTACAAATAGCATTTGTCTGGAAGCTATGATTGGCAACAGCTTCCCATTGAGTTCACATTTGGCAGCAAACCTGGGTTTGCCACCTTGTCATACACAAAAAAAAACCTTGAGTGTTTAGTAAAGGTCTTCTGGTACATGAGTAAGTCAGCCGTGCAGTTTGTTACTGTTTGCTTGAAACATGTAGCAAGTGCTTTGGGATGCCCCTCTTTCCATCCTCTTAAAGGTAAAGGTAAAGGTACCCCTGCCCGTACGGGCCAGTCTTGACAGACTCTAGGGTTGTGCGCCCATCTCACTCTATAGGCCAGGGGCCAGCGCTGTCCGGAGACACTTCCGGGTCACGTGGCCAGCGTGACATCGCTGCTCTGGCAAGCCAGAGCCGCACACGGAAACGCCGTTTACCTTCCCGCTAGTAAGCGGTCCCTATTTATCTACTTGCACCCGAGAGTGCTTTCGAACTGCTAGGTTGGCAGGCGCTGGGACCGAACGACGGGAGCGCACCCCGCCGCGGGGATTCGAACCGCCGACCTTTCGATCGGCAAGCCCTAGGCGCTGAGGCTTTTACCCACAGCGCCACCCGCGTCCATCCTCTTACTGCTCACCAATCTAAACAGCACTATCATAGGTCATTTAAAGCTGGAATCTAACCCTTTTTTAACACTGTGCTCTCTGCTTTCTCCCCTAAGTGTCCATGGACCTTTAAATGCTGAAATGATGGCATTCTTTAGATATTTTGTTCTGTTCTAAACAAAAGTAATGTTAAAGAGCAAGGTGGGTGGAAAAAGGGCTTCAAAGTCCAGCTATATAAACAAACTGGGTAGCAGCATCCACAGTGTAAACCAGCTGAGTGTTAAGTCATAGTGTGTAAAATAAGTTATTTCCAACACAAGATGGGAGGAGTCCAAAGTTGAGGAGCTGTTCATGTTCACTTTCACAGTACACTTTCTGGGTGTTTAATCTTTATTTAAGTTTTATTGTATAATGTAGATAAGAGAAATGTTTAAATAGGCAGGTTCTTATATTCCAGCTTCCTTTCTCGTAATGACTGCCATAATGCTTGGAAATGTGATGCTGAAACATACTTTGGTTTATAGGGCCTTTTTTGTTGTTGTAGGAGAGCTTGAATGATGTAGTGGTTAGAGCAGGGGGAGTCAACCTTTTTATACCTACCGCCCACTAATGCATCTTTCTTGATGGTAAAATTTCCTTACCGCCCACCAGTGCTCAATGGAAGGAGGATTCAGCTTGTGCCGTAGAACCCCCTATCGCCCACCTAGAATCCTGAAACACCCATTAGTGGGCAGTAGGAACCAGGTTGACAATCCCTGGGTTAGAGTGTTGAAGTAGAACCAAGGTTCAAATCCCCACTCCATCATGAAGCTCACTGGGTAACCTTGGCCCAGTCACTATCTCTCTTCCTAACCTACCTCAGTGGTGTTGTGGGGATTAAATGGGGAGGAGGAGAACCATGTACCTTTGAGCTCCTTGGGAGAAAAGGGTGGAGTATAAATTAAATAAGTGTGAAAATTATTTAAGGAAAAATATACTGAGGTCAGGTTTTCATATCTACTCAGTGAAGCAGGCGTTTTTACTAGGTTCAGTGAAGGAAACACACTTTCAGCTCTGGCAGAAAGTACAGGTGGTTTAGCTAAAATCAGACCCTTGTTTTGAAGTGGGATCTTTAAAATGATATGTTCAATCCAGAACCTTAACTCCTTGTTAAAATAGTTTCCAAGTACAGTACAATCATATAAAGTTCTCATCTGCTGTATCTTTCTTCATATACTTTGGGGAAGAATGGTTGTCAAGTTAGTGTCATAGAATTGTTACCATAGCAATTCCTTTGACCTCCCCTCTCTACCTTTATTGGGAATGAAGAGGAAATCAAGGCAATGCAATAGAACAAAGCAGATGTAACATTGACATGCTTCTCCGGTACTGTAAAATTTACAGTGACTTTGGTTTTAGAACCCTACAGATGCTATCTCAGTGTGAAAAAGGCATACCTCAAGGCTTTCTTCATGCCTGGATCAAGTTCCAGTTGTTGTAATTCCATTTCTTTCCCTGGCACAAAGATTATAGAGAGGCCTGAATAGAAGAACAAAAATGTAGCTTGTTCATACAATGTGACCAAGGAAACAATCAGCATCAGTCTGTAATTGAATGCAAGAATTTGCCCTACATGTGTGGACTTTACAGGCTGGTATGGCAAAGATAATTCAGGTGTAAGGTAGCCTCTTTGTATAAGGCTCAAGCTAGCAAGGGTATAAGGCAAAGAAAGTACCTGGTGAACAAAGTAATTAGATTAGGAAAGCAAAGCTAGACTTTCTAATTCATTAAATCATTTGGATTGCCTGAAAATAGCTATCCTACAATATTTGTTTGCTTACTGATCTGAAAATGACCCACAGAACTCTCTGAAGGAGGCCTACTCTTGTTGAAACCTTTGCACACATACAGTGAAGTACACAGGACAGAGTCTGACCATTGGCCATCCAGCTCAGTACACTGACTGACAGTGGCTTTACAGCATTTCAGACAGGAAGTTCCTTCTATAAAAGCGGGAAAGATGAGCTGGGGCTCTTCTAGCATTCAAAGTTTCATCTGGGGAGAGGCAGGTGCAGAAGGGCTCTATGGAGGATCCATATCTTAGCCCAGGGGTCAGCAACCTTTTCCAGCCCCACAAATAACCCAGAGATGCATTTTAAATAAAAGCACACATTCTACTAATGTAAAAACGCGCTGACTGCCAGACTATCTGTGGGCCGGATTGCGAAGGCGATTGGGCCACATCCGGCCCACGGGTCTTAGGTTGCCTACCCCTATCTTAGCCTTATAAACACTGATATACAAGCGGCAACCATTTTAGATGCATTCAGTTGATATGTGATCGCCATCGCGTGAGTCCTTTTGGACCCGGAAGAGGGCAGAACGTGCTTATACATGCTCCACCAACACACACAGGGGCCAAGAACACAACCCCCATGCGAAATGGTCACCACCTGTACCTTAAGGTATTTGTGCTAGCGTTTTGTTTTTGTTTTTAAAAAAGACTGGTTTATGCTAGTGTAGTCTTGCATTCTATGCCTTTAGTGTGAGTTTCTTTTCTTAGTT